TCAGTTGACGTGTATTAGAAGCATACCAAAACAAAGCCTTTGTTGATGGAACATCAGAGCAGAACTTCAGCAATAGTGAGCTCTGGACAAAGTGTCAGAGATGGCAATGTTTGGCAGCAGTAAAAACACAAATTTCTTCCAGACAGAAAACTTTTCAACAACTGTGACACAATGGCAGAAACATTATAGATTGCAGTTGCTTCATTTCCTTCGGAGCTGGTCAGTAAGCAGACTCTGATGCAGTTGAGGTTAAAGCAGAAGTAGTTAATCAACTGGAAAATAACTCTAAGCACACTAACAAATTAAAAATTAAAAATGACAAAAACAGATTATAATCATGCAGCTTTTTAGTAGTCTAGTCTTGGTGTTCTTCTTTATTTTTTCCCTTTTTAACTATGTGCAAGCCAACTATATAGGGCACCAGCTTTACCTTTCTACGAACATCTTTGCTGCACTCACTGCCCACAGCAAATACGAGCATGCACTAAAATTTTCCTGGACTTGAGTAGAAGAAAAACAAAGGATTTTTGACATTTTTTACTGTGACATCAAAATTTCAAATCTAAATGGGCTGATCCAACAAAGAGAAGGGTGGCAGAGCATCAAGACACACCTCCTGCTGTTACCTGATGATGCATATCTCTTTATATTTTAGTTTGAATAAATAGCTCCGCAGCAGAGGCTACATTCAAACCTGTGATGGACATGGCTTTTCCACCAGGAACAACAGTAATGACTCTGTTTAAGACAGTGCCCTAACTACTGCCAATGCTTTATCCAACAAAACAACCCATCCACCTTGTCACCTATACAAACAGTGGGTGGCTTAACATAAATTCACTATCAGCTATCAGTACACTGGGAACTGAAGAAAACAGTTTATTTCTATCAAACATACACTTTCCCCAACATTATCTCCTCATTCCATGTATTGGATATCAGTGTGGGGCATTGAAGCTTGCCAAGAACAAACAATGAACTTGTAGATACAAGTGGCGTTCCCAGTGTGGAGCAGTGAATGGAATAACATTGTTAGTTGGGAGATATTGAAAGAGCCTCTTTGACCTACAAACTTCATGGAGGAATGGAGTTTGATTTCCATGTAAGTAGCTTACATGGCCAGGGCAAATTTGCATTTTGAGGATGATCATAAACTAACCAGCTCAAAGATCAACAATGAAGAACTCCACCCACACACAAACACTCATTCAAAAGCTGAAATCAGAGCTCTTCCACAACAGACATTCCAATTTGACAATTTTATATAAAAATCATTTATAACTTTGCCATAAAATTCAGTTGTACACCTGTCATACTGTAATAAGCCTTAAACAGCCTTATCGGCTCTAACAGGATTGCACCATGACATTATATTCAACCCCATACACTACTTAACAACCCACCTTTCACTTGTTATAGCATGGTCATGGTGTCACTGATCCCATCTCCAGCGTAATGTCTTTGCACAGGTTACCAGCTGTCATATTTTTTGTAGAGCGGGAGTCCTCAAGAGGGCGCTGTTTTAACCACTTTTATATATGGAGGCCGCCGAAAATTGAGATATGTGACGTAGCAAAATGGGCAGTCCGTGTATACAAGTCTGCGCTCTCATTCATAAGGAGTGTTAAACGTTAGCAGTTCCTGCCGACAGCCAGCCAGAGTCACATCCTCCTCACAACTGTAAGTTTTGCTCTTTCTCACTGACAACAAGGCTTCGTGCGTATTTTCTTTTTCTTAGTGCGTAGCGGCCTCTCGTGACTCTGTTTTCGTTCTCCGTCTCTCTTCTGTGCTCCTTTGGAATTAGTTGGGGAAAATGCAGAGCTACGTGCGCTACGGGGGGAAAATATTACAGGCTAGACAAGTGAAATCCGCGACTGTCAATTTGTTGCAGTACCTTGTCGGCGTAGTGTGTGGAGCTGTGAGGTGTTTGCATGGCGTTCAGGCCATTTTCCTCACCCACTCACACAGCTGTAGGTTTTCTGTGTGGCAGTTTGGCCTACAGAAACCAGAGATCAAGTTCAATGTAAGCATCCTGCCTAAACCACTGAAACGGTCCATTGCACTCAAAGCTATTTTAACAGCAGATCATTGGAATGCATGTCAAAGAGGCCTCTACCGCATATCTGCATGAATATAAACATTTCACCTGTCATGACTTTTCTTTCTGTCTTTGTTTTTGGTATTGCTTCTAATGTTAGACTCCCCTGGTGATTCCTATGTTCTTGTTTCCAACATTTATGTCGGCAAAAGTCCAAATAAAGGCCTTTTAGTGGCCATCGCATTATAAAACGCATGTAACTGTAACGTAAAGTGAACCTTAGAGAGCAAATTATTTGATTGCACCAGAGGACACATGTAGTGAAGGGTGTGGGTATAAATGTCACCTACCTGTGAAGGTCAGCGAAAGCTGGCTTGTGGTGTCCTTGCTGTAGGAGCGTGTTTACATTCATAAACTACAACAAAACACAATTTATAGGACCGCGGGGGTTAATTATTTGTTATTATAAATAAATAACACGTAGTGTGTTTATGTCCAGGTTACACACTGATGACCTAATTTCACTTAGACCACGTGGGAGGATATTTGATATAATTTTACAAATGTAACCGGCAAATGTGGGCCTAGCTTATGAGCCTGTAAGTGTTCGCTAATGACGGTTGGTTTTATGGGGTGAGTGTGGTGTTTGCAGCCATAATGATAATGCAGACAGTAGTACAGTAACTGCATAAAGACAAGGGCTAGTTGCAATGGTCGCAAAGACCTAAATGTTTATCGCCGGTTATACGACATCCACAGCAAAGGCTATGTTTTCAGTGGCTCCTTTGTTACCACATATGACTGTGCTGGGTGGCACAGGACGATTCGTGAGTACTGTGTTGCCAGTTTTACGCGGCATCTAAGCGGCGCTGTGCTGCGACCTTTCCCCTAGTTTCCGCAGCACAGGGTGGATCATGTGATGTTGGAAAGTAGCTGGGGGGAGGGGACTGGCTGCTGAAACGCTGCTCTGTGGATGCTGTTCCTTCAGAGTGGAAGAAGCGACGTGTACTGCTTTCAGAGTGCTCTCATTGAATGAAATAAAAGTGGACCCTGTAACCAAAAAAGGAAAAAAGATAGAAATCCTTTAAAAGAAGATGGTCTTTGCAGAGAGACATCTCTTTGGAAATAAGGGCTTCATTAATTTTGTTCTGAATCTGTAAAACCTGAATCATGCTAGTCGTTTGGAGGTTTATTCCATGGTAAATGTATGACAAAGCAGAGGATTTGTGTATCAGAAGAATTATTTGAGGAAGTCTCATAAAGTATGTTTACAATATAACAGAATTTGTGCACAGCTTGTCAAGTTCATTCATGTTTCTTCTAAGCCAATAAAGCATTTTTAATTCAGTTGCTTTCTGTTTGTAGCAAGAAACAATTAAATCTAGATAAAAATATATCCAGGGCACTAGCTACTGGTTCTCATTTGTTCATAACAAAGCATCTTATTAATTGTTTTCTTGGTTGCCTCATAAATATACAAACTACAATGGAGTCTTTTATAGTAGGTAAGCTGGAAGACCCACTTGTTCAAATACAATAGACCAGCTTTGATCAAGGTTACTTCCCAGTGTTGCCTTTTACTGAGACAAGTTAGTTTCAAATTTTTCCAAAACTAATGGGTGGGGTAGATAATTATTGTAACTGAAAAGATTTACTTTATTTATTTATGCAGCCATATCTTGACTAGGGTTGACAGTTTTAAAACAAGACAGGCCTCATGCCAAACATCAGTTATGTTGGGCTACCAGTATAACCAGTTCAGACTAGAGCAGTGCGATATGACCAAAAATATTTTTCATGATATACATTTGAAAATTTGCAATAACGATATAACTGACGATATAATTGATACTAGACAAAATATTTTACAACTCCACAACTTTATTAGTGCAA